CTGCAACGAAATCCACCCGCTGGCCAGCTGTTTGTGCATGCGCAGCTGCCGAGTTCGCTGAGTCGTCATCTACAACAGCAGCAGCAGCAGCAGCAGCAGGGACAGCAGCAAAGCAGCAGCCTTGGGCCCCTTCCTGGTGTACTACCAAGGTGCCCCCGCGCCGCAGCTGGCACAGCAGCAGCAGCAGCAGCAGCAGCAGATGAGATAGAGGAATTGATTCCTTCTGTCCCCCCCACACCGCATGCCCCAGAACAGCGCCTCCACTTGAAAGGCCTTGCATCCCCTGCAGCAGCAGCAGCAGCAGCAGCAGCACCAGCACCAGCAACAGCAGCGGCAGCAGCAACGATGGCAACAGGAGCTGCGCATTTGGCGATGCTGCTGCAGGACGTCCACCTGCTGCAGCCCCAGAGCAGCAGCCTGCTGCAGTTTGCATGCAGAGTCAGCAGCACGACTCGCGTTGTCTCGCGGCCAGTAGCCGCTGTTTTCAGCAGCAGCAGCAGCAGCAGTGGCAGCAGCAGCAGCAGCAGCAGTGGCAGTGGCAGCAGCAGCGAGGACATTGCGTGGCTCGTATCGCCGGAGCCGTTTTGGGTCAGGTCTACAGCAGCAGAAACAGGAGCAGCAGCAGCAGCAGCAACAGCAGCAGCAGCTCTTTTCTCTCCTCTGCTTTTAAGGCAAGGCCTTCCACGCCGCTTGACTTTGGAAGCTTGGCTTGCTGCTGATGCCCCAACAGCAACTGCAGCAGCTGCTGCTGCTGCTGCTGCAGCTGAGAGTGGGGGATATTTGGCTGCAGGAATGAAGTGCGTTGGCCTGGGGCACATGCCCCTGCCTGAGGACTTGTCTGCCTTGCAGCAGCAGCAGCAGCAGCAGCAGCAAAAGGGGCTGCTGCTGGTGGCAGATGAAGAACTCGTGCTGCTGTCTCTCCCCACGCAGCAGCCGCTGCTGCGCTGCAGGTTGCGCATTCTTGCGGGCTCAGCTGCATGCATTCGGAATCTCGAGGCTTCTCTGCAGCAGCAGCAGCAGCAGCAGCGACCGCAGCAGCAGCAGCATCGGGAGCAGCAGCAGCACTGTGTGCAGCAGCAGCAGCAGCAGCAGCAGAATCGGGAGCAGCAGCAGCACTCTGAGCAGCAGCAGCACTTGGAGCAGCAGCAACAGCAGCAGCAGCATCAGCAGCTAGAAGAACAGCTTCAAGAATTACCAGAGCAGCAAAGACTGCAGGAGCTGGATGAGCAGCAACAACGACTCCAACATCGGCCACAACAGGAGCAGCAGCAGCGCCCGCCGCCGCAGCAGCAACTTGAGCAGCAGCAGCAGCAGCAGCAACTGCTGCTGCAGCAGGAAGATGAGAGACAGGCCTCGCTGCCTCAGCCGCTGCGCCAGCCGCGGCCGCGCACCCCTCCGAAGTATCCAGCAGCAGCAGCAGGAACAGCAGCAGCAGCAGCTGCTGCTGCTGCAGCCACAGCAGCAGCAGCAGCAGGGGATGCGACCCTTGCTGCTGCTCACCGCGCACTTCTCCGCCTAGATGTTTCCGGCTCGAGGCTTGCTGCTCTCTTTGCTGAGCAGCAGCAGCAGCAGCAGCTGCAGCAAAAGCGGCTGCTTAATATGAAGGGGCTCCGCCCTTCGCCGCATGCAAGGGCCTATACAGTTTACGTTGCAGCCAGGTAGGTCACTTTTAGCTGCTGCTGCTGCTGCTGTTGCTGCTTCTGCTGCTGCTGCACACTCGCCTGTAGCCGTTGCTGCTGCTGCTGCTGCTGTGGTCTCTGCTGTCTCTGCTGCTGTTGTGGCTGCTGCTCTTGATATCTGGGGTGATCGCAGTGGAATTCTCCTTTGTGCTTGCTGCTGCTGCTGCTGCTGCTGTTGCTGCAGCTCACTGCAGTCGCAGCTCGCCTGGGTCGGAATGAGCATAGGTGAAGGGCAGCGGCTTGTGCATGCGCTGCTGCAGCAGCAGCGAGGAGCGCAGCAGCCTTTAAAACAGCTGCTGCTGCAGCCCACGTTTGCTGCTGGGTTCAAAACAGCAGCAGCAGCAGCAGCAGCAACTGAGGCGCTCACCCCCGGGGGCTACGCCTCGACCCGCTGCCCGTCTGCAAACATTGACGACGCAGCAACAGGAGCAGCAGCAGCAGCTGCTGCTGCAAGCGACTGCAGCAGCCCTGCAGCTGTGCTTCAGCTGCCAAGCAGCAGGAAGGCTAGCCAAGCCTTGCTGCAGCTGTCGCACGAGCCGCAGCAGCAGCAGCTACTGCTGCTGCAGCAACAGCAGCAGCAGGAAGAAAAAGATGAAGAAGTGTCCCTACAGCTTGCTGCAGAGTACATTGAACGTCGCAGAGCAGCAGCAGATGCTGTTGTTACTGGGCTGCTGCAGCAGCGATATGAGCAACCAGAAGCAGCAGCAGCAGCAGCAGCAGCTGCTGCTGCTGCTGCTGCTGCTGAGAGTAGTGTTGGGGGTGTCGCCCGACGGCTGCAGCAGCTGCTGTACTCGCTAAAGTCACACGAGCTCTCTGCCAGCAGCAACAGAAGCAGCTGCAGCAGCAGCAGCAGCAGCGGCAGCGACGGCAGGTTTCGAATGACAGCTGATGATGTTTCTCGTTTACTGCTGCAAGCGGGGGTTTGCCTTGCTGCAGACTCTGTGCTGATGCAGCAGCTGCTGCTGCTGCTGGACGAAGCAGCAGAAGGCTTGGTTGACTTCCAGCTGCTGCTGCTGCTGCTGAGCCGCCGCAGCGCGAGGGAAGAGGAGGCACTACTTGCTGCTGCTAATGCTCTGAGAAGCTGCTGCTGCTGTCTCGCAGCTGCCCCACAGGGCTGCGACAAACTGCAGAAAGAGCTCGCGACTGCAGCAGCAGCTGGAGTTGCTACAACGGGCCAGCCAGCAGCAGCAGCAGCAGCAGCAGCAGCAGCACTTGGCAGTCTTCAGGATGAAGAGCTTGTGGTGTCTGTACACGTACTGCAGCACATTCTGGAACGCCTGCTGCTGGAGACGCAGCAGCAGCAGCAGCAGCAACAGGCGGCGGTGGGAGCTGCAGGAGACCGATCAGCAGCAGCAGCAGCAGCAGCAGCAGCTCTTGGCCCCGGCCAGTTGCGAATGGCTTGTCTGCTGCTGTCTCTTCGCAGTCTTTCGAGGGACACTTCAGAAGCTGCGCAGACAGAAAGAGCTCTGGTGCTGGAGCAGCTGCTTGCAGCAGCAGCAGCAGCAGCAGCAGACCAACGGACGACAGAGGCAACAGCAGCAGCAGCAGTATCGCCTCGCATAGATCTCGGCAGCCACTGCCCCGCTCT